TTTCAATGGTTTACAGCAGTTTTCCTAACTCACGTTGTTTGACAATTGTTTCCCCACAAATCCTCAGTCTCAACTGTTTTCCTGCGCCTCACAGTGGTTTTCCTGACCCCTCTGTCTCCCAATACTGTTCATGAGTCCTCAGCATCACAACCGTTTTCCTGCACCTTGAGCCTTACAGTTTCACAACGGTTTTCCTAACTATTCAGCCTCGCAGCTGTTTTCCTGACTTATCAGCTTTCTAACAGCTTTTATCACCCCTATGAAAAAAAGTTTTGTGATCACTGAGTCTCATATTTTTTTCCTGACTCCACTTAGAATCAGAGCAATATTTATGACCCCTAATATCACAACGGTTTTCCCGAATTCTTCATTCTCACAACGAATTTCCTGAACCATTCATTCTCATAATCTCACAACTGGCTTCCTGCCCCTTCAGTCTCACAATGGTTTTCCTGACCCATAAATCTATCAATGGGTTTCATGACCCCTGAGTCTCTTAACGGTTTTTCTGACTGCGAGGGATAAGTTCATTAGACAGGAGTGGTGAAAGTATGAATGAATGGTGGTGATAGTTTGTTGGGCAGTCTACTGGTTCAGTTAGGGTTGGTGCATAGTTCCCACTACCCACCTTCCTCTTCTGCGCCCGGTGGGAGATGACGAGCGTGTGTCCGACCTGTGGTTGGTCACTTGACTTGCGGCTGCCATCAAATCTGTAAGTATTCGTTCCACTCCTGTCTAAATTATGTTTTGGGTTAAGTTGGTTTCAACAAGAGCTTCACTCTTGTTTAAGGTTTCAGACGCCAATTTATTCCTGCCTTGCTTTGAATTTACGTAGTGTTATGTCATCTTTTAATCCTCACCATTTCTTTTAAAGGTCGTACACCTATCGCGTGTGTGATTTATCGAGTGATGTGTAACTTAGTTTTTTTTTTTTAATTTTTAGCCTTGATTGTCGGCTCGGGTCATCCGGCTCATGCGGGATAAAGATAAGAACAGCCTTGATCTTGCCAAGATAGGAAACGTCATCTGGACCTCTCTACCTACGCTGGTCTCCCTTCCACACGTAGCCGACCATCCAGTCAGCTACACACCATTCAAACAGCCTTCTTCCAGTTGTAACTCCACAGCGTTCATGGTGGTTCTTGACTGGCTGCTTATCTGCTTCAACAGTACTGTGGTGATCAGAGGATCCGTCAACCTCTACTCGACAGAATATATAAGCGTGATGAGGACACTGTATTCTGTGTCTACAGTCACGACCAGCTGTGAACCCCGCCCCCCCCCCCCCCCCCCACATCATCAGCAACGGCTCGGCACCATTTACACTACATCAGCGTGTATACATTAACTTTGAATCACTAATTATTTATATATTTCAGTTTTCATTTTTGCTTAAAGTAGGATTAATTTCATGTTTGAGTGTTTTATATTCTTTATTAATTTTAATGATTAATAAAAGTGATTATCTTATGTTATTATTGAATTTTCTATCTTTATATTTCCGTAAGGAGGACCCGGCCTTATCAAATACTCTTTTAGGATCTGATACGGCTGAGTGAACCTTCACACTGACCCTTGAATCTTGTTGCTTTCTCAGTTTTACAAATGTTTTTTTTCTGAACCTCATCCTCAAATGGTTTTCTGATTACTCAGTTTCATAACTGCTTTTCTGAGTCCTCAGCCTCACAACATTTTTTTTTCTACACTCAATCTTACAAAGGTTTTCCTGGCTCATGAGCCTCACAAGGTTTTTCCTGACCCCACAATCTCACAGGTGTTCTTCATGACCCCTCAGTCTCATAACTATTCGATGACCTCTCAGTCTCACAACTATTCAATGACCCTTCAGTCTCACAACTATTCAATGACCCCTCAGTCTCACAACTGCCCTTCGTGACCCATCAGTCTCACAACTGCCTTTTATGACCCCTCAGTCTCACAACTCTTCAATAACCCCTCAGTCTCACAACTGCCCTTCATGACCCCTCAGTTTCACAATTGCCCTTCATGACCCCTCAGTCTCACAACTGCCCTTCATGACCCCTCAGTCTCACAAATTTCTGTAAACTCAGCATTGTAATCCTTATAGAGAATAAACTTTGAATTTGATCTCTTCAATAACCCCTCAGTCTCACAACTGCCCTTCATGACCCCTCAGTCTCACAACTGCCCTTCATGACCCCTCAGTCTCACAACTGCCCTTCATGACCCCTCAGTCTCACAACTGCCCTTCATGACCCCTCAGTCTCACAACTGCCCTTCATGACCCCTCAGTCTCACAACTATTCAATGACCCCTCAGTCTGACAACTGCCCTTTATGACCCCTCAGTCTCAGCTGTTCTTCATGATCCCTTAGTTTCTTAAATGTTCTTCATGATCCCTTAGTTTCTTAAATGTTCTTCATGATCCCTCAGTTTCTTAAATGTTCTTCATGATTCCTTAGTTTCTTAAATGTTCTTCATGATCCTCAGTTTCTTAACTATTCTTCATGATCCCTCAGTTTCTTAAATGTTCTTCATGATCCCTTAGTTTCTTAAATGTTCTTCATGATCCCTCAGTTTCTTAAATGTTCTTCATGATCCCTTAGTTTCTTAAATGTTCTTCATGATCCCTCAGTTTCTTAACTATTCTTCATGATCCCTCAGTTTCTTAAATGTTCTTCATGATCCCTCAGTTTCTTAAATGTTCTTCATGAACCCTTAGTTTCTTAAATGTTCTTCATGATCCCTCAGTTTCTTAAATGTTCTTTATGATCCCTCAGTTTAACTGTTCTTCATGGTCCCTCAGTTTCTTAACTGTTCTTCATGATCCCTCAGTTTCTTAACTGTTCTTCATGATTCCTCAGTTTAACTGTTCCTCATGATCCCTCAGTTTCTTAAATGTTCATGATCCCTAAGTTTAACTGTTCTTCATGATTCCTCAGTTTCTTAACTGTTCATGATCCCTCAGTTTCTTAAATGTTCATGATTCCTCAGTTTCTTAAATGTTCTTCATGATCCCTCAGTTTCTTAACTATTCTTCATGATCCCTCAGTTTCTTAAATGTTCTTCATGATCCCTCAGTTTCTTAACTATTCTTCATGGTCCCTCAGTTTCCTAACTGTTCTTCATGATCCCTCAGTTTCTTAAATGTTCTTCATGATTCCTCAGTTTAACTGTTCCTCATGATCCCTAGGTTTAACTGTTCTTCATGATTCCTCAGTTTCTTAACTGTTCATGATCCCTCAGTTTCTTAACTGTTCTTCATGATTCCTCAGTTTCTTAACTGTTCATGATCCCTCAGTTTCTTAACTGTTCTTCATGATTCCTCAGTTTCTTAACTGTTCTTCATGATTCCTCAGTTTCTTAAATGTTCTTCATGATTCCTCAGTTTCTTAACTGTTCTTCATGATTCCTCAGTTTCTTAATTTCATGATCCCTTCAGTTTTTAATTTCATATTGATCCATTTTTAATGTTTCATGATTCCTCATTTCTTAATGTTTTATTCCTCAGTTCTAAACTGTTCTCATGATACTCAGTTTAAAGTTCTTATGATTCTCAGTTTCTTAATGTTCAGATCCGGTTCTAAACTGTTCTTCATGATCCTCAATTTCTTAACTGTTATTCATGTCCTATTTTTACTGTTCTTCATGATTCCTCTGTCTCACAACGGTTTAGAATTTACTTTCGATTAAATGCATTAATGTCTATCATTAGTATTTATTAATGCGGAGAATTTGATCCTTTTTCATATTATCAGATCAATGATATTTTTTTCCTCAGAGTGACGTAAACATTCCTCCTTCGAAAAAAAAAAAGCAGTGGAGTGGTAACAAAAGCTGTATGTTATGAGATTTTTAAACAGAAAGGAAGTAAATTCTCTGTAAAAATCGCTCGTTATTGATATTAAAATGAATCTCCCTTTAGTTCATCTGTGTCTATTGTACTGATCCATGGTAAGTGCTTCATGGCGATGCCAAAGGTTATTGGATCTTAATTTATACTCCCAATCTGTCCCTGCTTCCTTAGTTTATTGTCCACTTGTATTTAATTAACGATTTTCCCATGTTCATTACATGGGTAGAGGATGGAAATTTTTATTTGCTTTCTTTTTCACTCTTCGAGGAAGCTAGCAGAAACGTACGCAGTAAACAGACATTAAGCGCAGAGCTAATTATGATTTAGATACGACTTTTTTGTTTTAACAAGTTTATCACAGCAGTACAGTGACTGGCATAAAACATTACATACAGATTAATGTAAGGTGACCAGATGTGTCAGCTGCACTTGCTGATGGCTTGCATGCTATAATATTAGCTTTGCTAGTGTATTGGCTATGCTTGAAGTTCCCTGATTTTGTTCTATTTTCAGGGAAGTCAATATGAATTGCTAGACTTCGTTGTTTTCCTTACCAATAAGTTCATCGTGTCCCCAACACATGAGATACAAGCGTTTTTTACTCTACGTAGAACACATTCATGGATTTAATAATAAGAGGAAAAGTGAAAACCACTGTAAAACCACTGTAAAACCACTGTAAAACCACTGTAAAACCACTGTAAAACCAATGAGGAAGTAGAAGTGATATTAGCGTCTACATTTATTTACATGTTAAAGCCTCGCTCTGCACATACTGTCATTTTACAGAATTTCTTGGCAAATTTTCCGACCTTTTACACAGAAAAATATCAAATTTAAATTTTAAAATGACTTTTTTAACTAACAATGGTAAATGCTACTGGAGAAGACACTGATATAGTATTGATCTAAACAGGTGTAAAAGGACTGATAACAATATATTATTTAAGGGAAGCTAGTAGGTCCGTCAGTGGTGCCAGACTGTATGAAATGACAGTGGCTGATGTTAGCCTGATGGCACAGCAGTGCGTTCGTTCAATAATTAACGGACGGAGGATCGAGCATCCACCACTCCTTGCGATGGATGACCCACACAGGTTTACACTTCACGTTAGTCTGAGGTACGTGATTAATGATAATACAAGAAAATCATGGCACTTACCATGGCGCTGGTGAGGGCCAGGAGCCCCAGCAGCAACCAGACACGCTCCATCACACTGCCTGCACAAAAGAGGAAAAAAATGTTAATGTACTGTCATAATTGACAAATATACAAAAGAGGATTTTTGAGAGTCTGCCCTGCCTTCATTGTGCAAAATTTCGCAGAATATTGTATGTAACTAACTGAATTACATCTCCACGTGACTGAGCTATATATCTCTGGTTCCCAATAATCCCTGCCACCTACCCCAGAATATCCTGTAATAGAAACAATTTTAGCAATTACTCTTCAATAGAATTTTCCCCCACCTCCCCTTCTCTCTTTCAATTTTCAACGAGAGATACAAATATATATAATAATAGTTTTAGAGGTCTCCTTTTTGTAGGCAATGGAGCGACAACAAAAGAACCGTCTTTTAACAAATTTACAGCTCGTATTCTCTGACGTCACGTGAAGTATTGGATGATGTAAGTTGTAAATGACACTAAAGTTGGACTCTTGTATGTAACTAATTAAAGAAAATGTAATTCATCAGTTTTATTATTGTTTTTTTATAAGATAACCTAAGTAAAATGTAACAACTTTATATTATATATATATATATATATATATATATATATATTATATATATATATATATATATATATATTATTACAAAAAAAGTAATTTTTAAGAGAAGATGGTATTATGATTTACTCCTTTTGTAATAAAGAGTTCGGGATACATAAATACACACATTAATATAAATTAATCTTTAATATATAAAAATCAACTATCTTTGGTCTAGAGGTATTTGAACTATGATATAATAATATGTACATGTTACTATAATAAATTATAATCAGCATTTTACTAAAATATAATTAATAACCCTACACAGGGTACAACTCTTGACACTACTGTCACTATATATATATATCTCTCTATGCTAAAACAATAAATTATAAATAACATTTTTATAATAATAAATTACAATCAACTGCCTCTCACGACACGAAGTCAGTCACACGACACTGTTCAATGTACACTACAACCAGGCCATCTTCAGTGTCCCACGACACCCTTTTCATCTCAGTGTTCCACTACGGTCCTGTGCATATCTCAGTGTTCCACTCCATCGTACGTCCCTCAGTGTCACACTACGGTCCTGGCCCAGTTCAGTGTAACACTCCAACCTTTTCTTCATGTAATGTCCCACTAAACAGCATCTGACGACTCCGGCCCACAGTTGATCAACGTAGACGGTGAGTCCACAGACATCACCGGTAGTCCAGTAAATCCTCTCCAAAGGCGGTTGACACACCGCTAGCCGAACACCATGCTGCAAGCTCACTGAATGCGGCCGTCAAGTAACTGAGGCCAACAGACTCAGTGAGCTGCGGTGAGCGGTTCTTCTAACGCCAGTAGATAGGTACGATTCGGTGGTCAGGTACCTACTGCATAGACGTGTACCCTGAGGAGTTCAGGTACTTAATGTTCAAGCCAGTAGACGTGTACCCTTCGGTGGTCAGGTACCTACTGCTTAGGTGTGTACAGCGAGGCGCTCAGGTACATAATATTTCTAAAGCCAGTAGACGTGTACCCTTCGGTGGTCAGGTACCTACTGCTTAGGTGTGTACAGCGAGGCGCTCTGGTACATACTGTTACTAAAGCCAGTAGACGTGTACCCTTCGGTGGTCAGGTACCTACTGCTTAGGTGTGTACAGCGAGGCGCTCTGGTACATACTGTTACTAAAGCCAGTAGACGTGTACCCTTCGGTGGTCAGGTACCTACTGCTTAGGTGTGTACAGCGAGGCACTCAGGCTCTTACTGCTCTAAGGCCGGCTCAGCAGCCCCCACATTGGGTTTGATGACGCACCCAGTGGTACTGCCGGCCGGCAGGTTAACTATTTAACCGCTAGTTTGGCAGGGGCCGCAACATATATATATATATATATATATATATATATATATATATATATATATATATATATATATATATATATTAATATAGGGGGTGGTAGCAGAAAATTCTCCATCAGCTTCAGGGAGAACCTTGAGTTTTCCCTGAAGCACGTTTATTCTTTTCTCTGAGCATGAGGGTCCCTATAACAGTTCTAGAGGTGGTACCTCCCTATATTAAAATATATATATATATATATATATATATATATATATATATATATAATATATATATATATATATATATATATAACGTTTTATTGGCAACAAAGATCACCTACCTGACCCATAGTCAGGACATCCCAATTTAGCCCACCCAGGTAATTTTTCAGTCCCATGAAGTTGACCAAGCGAAAATCTGGGACAGATTTGATTGCAGTTATTTGGATAATTCCATAGTATATTGAAACTAAGTGATTTGTGATCACTTTCCCAAAGCTCATCATTAACCTCAAGATTATTAATTAGTGAATCTTTGTTGGCAAGAACTAAGTCAAGCAGATTGTTGCCTCTAGTTGGTTCTGTCACAACCTGTTCTAAAAAGCAATCCTGAACCGTATCAAGAAAGTCAGTAGACTCAAGATTTCCTGTCATATTGTTCCAATCAATTTGTCTAAATTTAAAAATCTCCCATTATCACAACATTTTCATATCTAGATGCCTTATGAATTTCGTCCCATAACAGCTTACTGCACTCACTATCAAGGTTTGCGGGCCTATAAATCACACCCAAAATTAATTTGTCACGTCCCTCGAGAAACTGTAGCCAAACAGATTCTGTGTTCGATGTTTCTAATCTTATATCATGTCTAAGACAACAATTTAAATTTTCTCTGACATACATCGCCACACCACCACCCTTCCTGTTGACCTCTTTCAGGTTGAACCAGGTCTCTGTTATACCAATAATATCTATAGTACCTACACGTGCAAGTGGAGATGTCATGTCTGAGGGCAATGTGTGGTTTGAATATAATACAGAGAATCCATTGTTTGGAGATTAGGAGGAGGTGTGTGGTTACCAAAACTATTATCTAGAGGGCTGAGGAGGGGTTATTGAGATGGTTTGGACATGTAGAGAGGGTGAAACGAAATAGAATGACTTCGAGAGTGTATAAATCTGTAGTAAAGGGAAGGCAGGGTAGGGCCGGCCTAGGAAATGTTGGAGGGAGGGGGTAAAGGAGGTTTTGTTTGCGAGGGGCGTGTTAGATACGAGCAAATGGAGACAAATGTTTTTTACAACTTGACGTGCTGTTGGAGTGTAAGCAAGGTAACATTTATGAAGGGATTCAGGGAAACCGACAGGCCTGACTCGATTCCTGGAGATGGGAAGTACAGTGCCGGCACTCTGAAGGTGTGTTAATATTATAATTTTATAACTGTAGTGTAAGCATGCCTCTGGCAAGACAGTGATGGAGTGAATGATGAAAGTTTTTTTCGGGCCACCCTCCCTTGGTGGGAAACGGCCGATGTGGTAAATAAAAAAAAATATATAGTTAGCATCCCGCGAGGCTGGCTAAATGACTCTGGTTCGATCCCCGGCTTGTAGTATGTTATTTGCTTTACACCAGTTTCCGCGGACGTACTGTGTATACTGCCTGTAAGACTTGAATCCAACCGGAAGGAGAATGAAATTAGTTCCTGTAGTTTTCCACAGCCACGAATGTGCTCAGCGTTAGGTGTGGCAGTCTGGTGTACTTACTGAACAGGTAACATCTTGAAGCATGGTGGCGTAGTGGACTAATGCGTCGAGAGTTTAGCTAGCTAAATGAACACCTGTTCGATTCCCAGCTGGTCGTAATATTTTAAGTGAGGGTTTAGGGAGTTTTGAACCAAGTGAGACAGTAATTGTGGTAGAGCACCTGAATGCTAAGTAAGAGAAGCAGTTGTAGAGGGCATAGTAGGTAAGTTTGGGATGCTATAGGTAATTGATAAGAATGAAGACTTTAACTAAACTTTATACAGAAAAAGGATTGGTAACAGGTAATATATATTTTAAGAAAGAGAAAATAAATAAGTATACAAGATATGACATAATGCATAATGAAAGTAGTTTGTTATATTAGGTATCAGTGGATGTTTTGTATATATATTAAGCCTAAGAACTTCGAATTGCAAATTCGGTATGCACTGAACAATAAGCCCGCAATGATACTTCTTTTAGATTCGGAAGAGAGGAAAAAACAAGTAGACAATCATCTGAATGTGTTGGTTTTCTATATACATTAAAAACAAGCGAGCAATACCATAGTATCCAAATCAGTCCATCGTTGTAGTGGCGCAGATACACATATATTCAGCAAAAATAGAGGTAGAGAAAATGGCCTGTAGTTCAAGCTATGTGCCTAAAGTGGAACTGGGGACAGCCAAAAGAAAATCTCTCGCATGAGCTCTCACTGCCAAGAAGAGAGCTGTCTTTTCCCAACACTCTTTTAACGAGTATTACTGAGGCTATATTCTCCACTACTGAGCCATCATAGTGTGAATATTTGTAGTTGCTGGGGAGAAGAGGTCTGGTTGTAGAGCCTGTTAGTTTATCCCAAAGCCTGGCATCAATCAATTAACTATTGGTCACGAACCCCCTATATTATTCCTAAGGTGTTCAGGGTGAATCGCTGATAAAAGTTCACTGGATTCCACAAATGAAGAGAAAATGCAGGAAGCACAGTCTGAGAAGGCTTGGGAACACCAATGCCTTCTATTCTGAGAACTTTTGTGAATGTCAGTCTCAGGAGACTGTCATATTAATGTAATTTACGGTCGTCATATGTAGGCGCACATCTTGGGGAACGTGTTAGCACTTTTTGAGAAGGTACAAGCCATCGTTCTTTTCAAAGTAACCAATTCGTTGTTCCATTCTCCTCAAATCGTCAATTTTTTTTCTCAAGAATCATCAATTGTATCAGTTCTAAGAGGTGCTCCAAGTATGACTGTTTGTGGGGGAAATGGTTGACGTACTTTGTAGTATGTTTCTCATTGTATCGAACACTTGCTGATAGGCTGAGACAATTTCGCATATGGATGGATTAAGGATGAGTCTCATAGCCTCTTCTCGTGTCCTTACTTGAGCAAGATTTGCTAGAAACAATCCTTTGTGCCTGTCAGTGTGCTATCATCC